AGGAGGAGGAGGAGGAGGAAGAGGAGGAGGAGGAGGAGGAGGAGGAGGAGGAGGAGGAGGAGGAGGCCGGGGGTTGCAAGTTTTGTAAAAATAGTCAAGGCGAGGTTGTTGGGATAGATACAAAGCGTTTCTGTCGACCTATTATTTCATTCAAGAGCTAAGCTTGAGTCTGCGACGGGGAGCAAAAAGGCACCTCTCGACCCAACGGCCTGCCCAACCAAACGGGTAGCGCTCTGACGTCTCAACCTCAAGTGAAAGCCACAACTCTGCACCCCTCACCCCCAAAGATCACGCCACCCAGAACAATCACGTCGAAACCCGATAGAGTATAGACCTGCACGTACAACACAGGAACGCCTCTTCTCTGAGACCCAAGAGGCCCAAAATCCGCGTGGTTTCCCTGCTGCTGTGTTTTTCTTACTTCATCAGCACCGACAGCACGCAGCGAGCAAACGCTTCTCCCCTAATACAAGCCGACGACACCAACACCGCTCAAGATCTCGCTCGGGGTCAGCCTACCTCGTCCTTCGCGACGGCTGTGGAGATCTTCGCGGAAGCGGGAGCAGCGGGAGCAGCAGCAGCGGGAGCCACCTCCTTCTTGGCTTCCTTCTTCACCTCCTTGGTAGCTTCCTTCTTAACCGCCGCCGCGCCCTCGCCGCCGGCAGACCCCTCTTCCCGCCCGCCGCCGCCGCCGTACCGCCCACCTCCGGAACTCCCTCGCGGCGATCCCCCCTTCCCGCCGTTCTCTCTCTTCGGCTCCCGCCCTCCTCCTTCTCTCGGAACGCCGCCGGTCTCTGGCTTCGGGCTCCGCGAGCGAGGGGTCTCCTCGCCCACTCTCTCCTTCTTCGACGACGACCCCTGCTGCGCCGAATCGGGCGGGGTTCGAGACCTCGACGGAGCCCGGTCTAGCGGCGGCGGCGGCGGCGTCGTCTTCTTGTCGCCCGAAGAAGAACCGCCGCTACCGCCGCCGGCGAGAGCGTTCATCCAGCGCGTGCGGAGGCTCGACGCCGCCGTCGCTACCTCCTTGTCGTTGTGCTTCACCTGCCCCCCGGAGAAATACTTGCGGGCGCTGGCCACCGCCTTCCCGCACCCGGACTGCTGCAGGAGCTCGCGCGATGGCTCCAGCTCCCCCAGCTGCGAGTCATCGCGGTTATGCAAACAAGGGTACCGAATCGGCGGCGGGTTCAATGACTAGGACTGCCGCATGGGATGAGGGCGCAGAGCATACATCTCACGGAACACCTGTGGTCCTCTCTGTCTACATCTCTCTCCCGCAAGTGCATGCTACACTCGTACCCGCCCCCTCCCTCCCACCGCTTCACCACTCCTCGCTCCCCTTTTCCTCACCTTTTGGAGGACCTCGAGGACCTCCTCCTTGTTAAACTTGCCCTCCACCCCGGCCTTGGCGAGCCTTTGCGTCAACTTTCGCCCTGTCTGGATCTCGCTCTCCCGGTTGCCGCCAGCACCCGCCCCCGCCGAGGCCCCTACCGCCGCCGCCTTGCCTGCTGCTGCGCCGTCTGATGTCCCCCCTCCGCCGCCACCGCCGCTCTCCTTCCCTTGCTCCTCCTTCATACGGCGGTGCTGCTTCCAGATGGGCTCCGACGAGCTCTTCATCTGCGGGGCAGGGCCCAGATAGGCAGGTGGGTGGGGGAAACTCAGGGTGCATTTTTTCGATCTTCGACGGAAGAGTGTATCCGCGTGTTTCTTCCATGTGTGAGGCGGTACTCGCATGTGCATTTTCGCGACAACCCCAAAGCATTTCATGGTTGTGTCGATGCTGCCAGGCGGTGGCAGCAGGCCAGAAATAAGCCCACACTCGACGAACTTCTACAAGCGTGTCATTCATGTCTCGACTAACGGCGCGTAAACTACGCACTTGATTGCTCACACAAAAGCCAGACGAAGACCAACTCCAGCAGCACAAAATCAACCACCAGAGTGACACACAGGGATGCACCAGCTGAGATACCTGTACAAGAAACCAAAGCACTTTGCTCCCAATCTCGACAATAAAACGCCTGATCCCCCTACCTCCCTCCCTCCCTCCAACCCATCCCCTTAACAATCACCTGCGTCAGCCGTTCCTTTCGCTCAGCTTCTTCCCTCTGCCGCTCCTCGGACGCCTTTAACTTCTTCGCCTTCTTTTCCCCACCACCCCCGCCACCCGCCCTGTCCCTCTTGTTCCCACCCCCACGCGCCCCTCCCCCTCCCGAGCTGCCCCCACCGCCGCTCTCCCCGGCTCTTGCTGAGGCTTCGCGGGCGGCCTCTTCCTTGGAAGGTATCCACCCCTCATCCCGCCCGTACTCCGTAGGGGGAAGGCCGGCGACGTACTTCCTCACCACCGCTAGCGCCCGCGCCTTCGCCCGGCCGGGCTCCACGCTACCGCCCTGCCCGCGCTTCTTGCCGCTGCTGTTGACCGGTGCTTCCCCCCCGGATAAAGTGTCGCTGCCGGCGCCGTCGCTGGCGGAAGGCGAGGAGGGACGGGGCCTCTTGGCCTTTTTCTTCCCGCCGCCGCCGCCGCCGCCGTTCTTGCGAGGCCGGCCGCGACCTTTCTTCTTTCGCCCCCCGCCAGCCTTCGCGGCAACGAAGTCCTCGTCCGAAAGTTTGTCGTCCTTGCAAAATATCGAACACGGCCATCAAAGAGACCGCATATTGTAGCAAGTGATGGGTCAACGGGATTCTCTCGGGAAGACAAGAGACACTGAGCCTCCGGCAATGCGGAACAGAGGGCCAGCCGAAAAGGTAAGAAATCCAAGCAAAAATACATTTCAAGGCAACGTCATCCCCGCTTCTGCTACTAGCACCCTCATCAAAACCACGCTTCGCGGTCAGTGTCACCAGGCCTCACTGCAAAAAAATCTGGCTTGTGCCGACCCGGCCTTGAACGGGGTGCGACGAGGAGGTCTCTCGGGCATGGGTTCAACAACGAGCACACACTACCCCCCCCTCCCCCGCTCTCACGCTCTGCCTTCAACCCCTACCTCGTCGTCTTCCTCCTCCGGCTCGCCTTCCACCGTGTACTCCTCCTCGTCGTCGTCATCACCCCCTCCCTCCTCTTCCTCCTCCTCCTCCTCCTCCTCTTCCTCCTCTTCCGCCGCCTCCTCCTCCTCCTCCTCCATAGCTCCGTCCTCCTGTTTCTCCTCCTCCTCCGCCCCCTCCTCCGCCTCCGGCACGGGCAGCTCGTACTCGACCCCCGCAGAGGACACCGGCGACGGCGGGTCCGCGTCCAGCTCCTTGACCGGTAGCGGCGTCTTCCGCGGACGGCCTCGACCTCGCTTCTTAGGGGGCTCCGCAGATGCGGCCGTCGGTGTTTGGCTGGCCGCGGTATTGTTCGCCTTCTTGGGTGTACTGCTGTTCTTCTTGTTCCCGGTCCAGCGGCCCACCATGTGGATCTCGGCGAGCCTTTCCGACCTTCCAAGACGCAATACGGAGGAGCGGTTACTCATTTAAAGCTTCGGACGAGACCAGACACAAAGCTGGCAATTTGTTGCAGCAGGGATGGATGGGTCCATTGCTTCTGCTGCTGTCGCAGGGACAGACTACTAATAATACTGTGAACATCGTTAAACGAGATCGTGAGGCAAGCGAGTGGGATGCACGGCCAGGCCGTTTCGTCCGCCATGGCGCACCAACCGTGCGCAACGTCCTGCTGGAGCAGGGTGTCCGTTAACACTCGCTCCCCGCGGTCCTGCTCTCTTTTTCAACCCGTCATCTACATTTACGCGAACATCGCCCCCGCCCACGTCCCCCCCCCGCCCTCACAACGACACTATCTACGCATCGGCGCAAACAGCAGTAGGAATTGTTGTAGAATACTTCCAGGACAAGCTGTACGAGTGTGATGTGGTAGTTCGTGCCACCAGAAATACAAGATTGATACAAGTACTCACTTGGTGAGAAGAGACGCCTCGACAGCGGCCTGCACGTCCTCCTTAAGGGTATCCTTCTTCTTCGTGACCTTGCAAGCCTTCAGGTGGGTCGGCAGCTCAGTCGCGTCGAAAGGCTTGATTCTCCTGAAACGAAAAAATACACACACACAGGCACGCAAGTGGTGTGTAACTCGCTTGTTTTGCTACTCTCCAGTTTGCCTATTTAGCAAGGTACTAACCTGGCCAACTGGATACCGCGAACCACGATACCACGTAAGGAAAAAACACACGGCTCTTGCTGGCGCCGTAAAAGGACACAACACCATGCGATTCACTCTGTGCCTTCGTCCCCCCTGCCCCTGCGGTACACGGCACAACCTCAACCACGAAGCGGGAAGGGTACAAGGAAAAAGAGAGACAGAACCAACCGAACCCCATGCGCAAGAGATGCCGATGATCCCTTCATATCCTTCGAGCCGGCTACCGACGCGATCAAGGACGACACGGGGGCGCGGCACTCGCCGTACCGTATCTCAGGCGAAAGCGGCTTGCATGAGACACACTTACTCCACTTTGGGCGCGGTCAGGGCAAAGACTGCCGCACCGAAAGAAGCAATTGAACGCACTAGATGGCAAATTTTTCGTCCAGTCCAGTAGGGACCTGTATCCGCGGTTGCCAAGAAACTGACTGTGGTGACACCCGGGTTCAATCAACGCGTGCTTCCCTCGCAGCACGGTCACCGTAAGCAAAAATCACCACAAGCATGCGAGACGAGGCTTGCCACACAAGAACAAAACAGAGAACCACATACATCGCCGTTCGTCGTCGTGGACCTGACCTGTTGAGAAGTATTATTAGTCCATGTGACACAGATGCCACCAACAACAACATCGACTACGTCAATAGCTTGAGCAGCAGCAGCAACAGCAGCAGCAACAGCAGCAGCAGCAGCAGCAGCAGCACAAGGAAAATCAGCCCCTCCTCACTTGTAGGGCACGCAGGCGAAGGGGTTCTTGGAGGTGGTGTAGAACTTGACCAGGTGGCTCTTGCCGACGGCGGCGTAGGCCATCCGGGCTACGCCACGGGCGATCTTGTCATTGCCCAAGAACCTCGGATCCCACACCAGGGCCGGCCATGGGGGATTGCCCATCTTCGCCCAGACCACCTGTGTCGTAGGGGGTGTTGCATCACGTTTTTGTGTGGGTGATGACGATGGTGATGTCTATTAGGCTCCCGTGTGGAGGGGGGGGGATGCGCATATCGCGGGGCCGCCGACAGGCTGGACCACGGAAGGTATACCTTCCGGTCTTGCTGGCGGGATCCTCGAAAAGGGTTTTTATGACCCATGCGTACCATGGTAACTCTTCTTATCTACGACAACTATGTTTTTGTTGACGGAGGGTGGTTTTTTTGGCGTCTTGTTTGGGCGGGTCTGTATAAATATATGGGGGTGTTTGATTTGATTAATTGTTTTTAGGTTTGGGGAGTACATATATAGGCAGACCCATATGTTCTACCGGTACGATAGAAAAGAGTACAACTTGGACTCATGGCGTATGTTACCATGACCTAGCGTACCTATTGTTCCACCAATCCTCGCGTAGTATAGAGTGATATATATAGGTTCCACTTGCCACTACTGCCGTGTGAGGAACAGGACCAGCTCTGAAACATGTGCGCCGGCGGTGGTTTCAGCTTTCAAACAGCAAGGCATTTTCAAATTTGTAAAATTCTCCGTCCGGGGCTTTTGGTGCTTCAGTCTGCTCAGACGCACTCGCCATTTCAAGACCGGCTCTCTCTCTCTCTCTCTCTCTCTCTCTCTCTGTCTCTCTCTCTCTCTCTCTCCGAGTTATGCTTCCCCACCTGCCCAAACTGTGCCTTGACCTCGCGAGGGAGGTAGTGGACCTCGTCGTGATCCGACCACTCGTCCGACTCGTTTCCATCCGCTCCGTCCCCCTCCGCCGCCGCCGCCGCCGCCGCCGCCTCATTGTCGTCCTTCACCGCCGCGGTTGCACCCGCTTTGTTGCCCTCGTCCCTCTTCGGTATCGCAACCGCGTGCCTCCCTGGCACCGGCCCTGACTCCCACCCTCCCACTGTCCGCGGCGAAGAGCTCGGCGACGCTCTGGCGACGATGGCTGCTACCTCGGGGTCTTGTTCTTCCTTGGCGGACAAGGGAGGAGGCTCTAAGGGCTTCTTCCTGGGCCTGCCGCGGCCCTTCTTGGCCGGGGTTGCTGCGGGCGGGCCAGCAGCAGCAGCAGCAGCATCGGGTACACTCCCGCTGCCAACGTCCGACTGCTGCTGCGCCCGGCCAGCAGCGTATGCATCATCATCATCGTTGGAAGGTGCGCTGCGCACTCCCGCACCCTCCGCTGCTACCTGGTCTCCTTCGAAGCTTGCTCTACCGCTCCTGCCGGGAAGCCGTCGCGACGGCGCCGCGCCCTTTTCCTTGGCCATGGTAGGCTTGGGTGTGCGAGAGAGAGAGAGGGCTTGAAATAACGTGCCCTTTCTGCCCCAGGCGTTGTTACGTTGTTACCGCACAACCAACTGCACGGCAACGGAAGGTTTGTTTAGAGCAAAGCACGCAAAGCAAAGTAGGTTGGGGGGTCGTCACTTGGCGGTATTTACATATGGGTACCATATGCGGGAGGGGGCTCCGTAGATCGAAGCGCCCAGGCACACACACATAGAGAGACCCGCCGGACACACACAAGCGACGGGCGCGTCACACAGAGGACTACACAAGCGTTAGCGAGGCCCTGAGCAAGCACCATGGCGGACACACCGGCGGTGGTTGAATACTCAATGACGGAGGTCGCGACTCACACGACGAAGGAGAGCACATGGTTGGTCATCAAGGACATGAACGACGGAGGTACGTTGTACGCGTGTTTCTTGCACTCCAGTTCTTCGCTCCCGACTTCGTCCGTCGAACATATTATCCTTCATTTATGCTTACCAGCAGCAGTTACCTATCGTATGCCAGCCTCTAGAGACCTGAATGCAGCTGGTAGAGATAGAGGGTGTCGTGGGTCACATACCAAACGAACCATTATATCAAGGCTGAGAACTGAGAACCCATGCGATTGGGTGGGGCGAGATACGAGCCATTTTGTATTTTGAAGTGACGATACGCCCAGTGGGTCTACCAGCTGAAGATTCTGGTTCAGCCTGGCCCGCTGAGCTTAATCTCTCCCTGCTGGTGCTGGGGTGTGTGTTTGTTTTGGTCCATTGCGCAAACATATCGGGTCTTCTGCTATGAACACACGCACGCACACACCACGACTCCTCACCGCCTTACTAGCTTCACCCAAGCCCGTGACACCTCCAATGACGGTGTTGGTGTCATGGATGATGGGTGTTGACGTGACGAAGAACACAAATCATGACCGCATCACCAGTGAGACGGGGGGGGGGGGCACGGGGGCACCACTGCTGCTGTCGTGAACCGACAGCAAACAAGCGAAGCAGACCAACGCAAGGCAGGGAGCAGCCGCTTTCAGATGCCTGCACAGAGCGGCAGGCCTTTCGTGTGTAGTCGAGCGCTGCGACGAAGCGTCCTGCGCTGCTGTACCATCATACGGGTCTACTCTGCTGTAAATAGTGCTGTGTTGCGCAGTGTCGTTGAGTATCGTATCGCTCGTATACCATACAGCAGTAGACCTTCAGGTACACTCGCATCCAGAGGCACACAGCACCAGTGAGCCAATACAATAGCAAGGATGTGTTCGGGCGGGCGGTGTACCTATACCGCACGCTACAATACACGCTACCCGGTGGAGACGTACTCGTCACTTTTGAAGTTGTATTGTACGGCCGTTGTGGCACTTTAGCAATATTACAGCGGTATGGAAATGTGTGTGTGTACGGACCTCCAACCGAACAGCAGGTGTCTGTCCCCTGCATATTGTACATACAACACGCGCACACACCCGAACATGAAACTTCCGGAACGTGCCAAGTGCACCACAGCGGCAAGCATTTATGGCTGTGCGGCCTATTTTGTAGCCACTACTACTGTGTCATTCACATTCTTCTAGTTGCTCTGCATACATTACGACACCGGTCGCGTTCCAACCGCCGCCAAGATGATTATCGCACTTCACGCGGAAGTTAGTTTGAGTTACGTTCCACGGGGGCGGCCACTGAGGTCAGACCACCCCCGTGACAGTACAGCATTAGAACCAACAGAAGGATAGATAGGACCTTGCTTCGAGTACAACTGAGAGTTGAGTAGTTGTACGAGCCTCACCGCCATCAGTACCGTAACGTAAGGATCACCGGTGCGTGGCTGCCGTCAGGAGATTTTTTGCGCTTTTTTCTCGAAATTACTGCTGTGTCGCCTTAGCAATGGATACCTGGAGTCCTTTCGGGATTAGTGACAGGCGTTTTTTTCATCAGGTCTACGGCATTACTTTGCCTGCTTGCCTGCTGGCCTGTTTGCCTGCTGCTGTGCTTGTTCTATCCCTAGTCTCTACGACAGCAGTTGGCATGTCAGGCAGAGACTCCCACAGTTGACGTCAACTCCTAAAGCCACAACCTGCTGAGACGCCACACACGCAGAAAACGACAGTATTCGTCCTCGTATCATGATTTAGAACAGAGCATGTTCTAGTCTGGCGATGCCCCCCCCCCTCCCGGCCTCCCTGCCCATAATATATTCTACGCCATCCATGCGTGTGTAATATCGAGCGGAAAGAAGAGGATTCACTCGCGCAGCCGGTGTTCCATAACGCTGTTTTGCCCCCATGTGCCTTGCCCTTGTCTGTCGCCTTCATCGGCTGTTTCTCGCCTTGCTCTTCCCCCGACGACAACCACAACAACAACAACAACCACGACGACGGCAACGATAACCTCAGACACCCCCAAGGTTTACGACGTGTCGAGCTACCTGAACGACCACCCGGGGGGCGCGGAGGTGATGATGGAGGTGGCCGGGCAGGACGCGACTAACATGTTCGAGGACATCGGGCACTCCTCGGACGCAAGAACGGAGATGAAGAAGTTTCAGATAGGGCTGCTCAAGGTGCGTCGTGTGCGCGTCGTGTGCGCGTCTGCTTGCTTCGCGGTTTCGCTTCTTCGCTGCTGTGTCGCTATAGCGTCGACCGATGTCAACACCAATTGTAAGACTCCAGTCTCAGCGGGACATGAAATCCCGGAAACGCCTTCAGTTTTGTCCTTCGCCCCTCTGTTGTCTCTTGCTTCTTGTTGCTTGCTGTGCTCTTTCTCGGTTTTTTGTTTCCTTTGCCGTGCTTGGTTCACCAACAGTAGTCATTCCTATGGACCACCTTTAACGATAGGTCAATCAATGCGCTAGTCAAATCACAACCCATTCTCAAATCGCAACCCATGAAGGGTGCGGCCGACGAGGAGCACAAGGACCAGGAGAAGGAGGAAGGGACCGCCCTCATCCTTCACGAATTGCGATTTGAACATGGGTTGCGATTTCCTGTCCCTTCCCCCGTCTGCTTCTCGTGGTTGTCTTTGTGCTCTTCGTCGGCCGCATCCTTCACGGATTGCGATTTGACTGGCGCGTGAACGGATTGGCCTATCGGTAAAGGGTGTCCATGGGAATAACTGCTGGTGTGCTACAAGGAGAAGCCTCAATACTGTCAGGCAGCGTTGCTGCTCCATCATGTCGTTCTCTCGGACGAACATCATTGTACAGACAATCTCACTTTCGTTTCGCCCCCGTTCCGATTCGAGGTGTGTGAGTGCCGAGAGCGTGCGCTTGAAAAATCACAAGCCAGTGAACCAACCCACGACAATTATTCGTGTTTGCCAACTCCCAAAAAAACAGGTATTTGGAGAACGAACAAATAATCACCAATTGGTTCGCCGGGACCCACTAAAATCGGTTTCTGTACCTTGCACCGCACGGAAGAAGAGATACTGGATGGCACTCCTCACAGCGAATTGAAAATAACGGCAATAACAAAAACAGTTTGTCATATGTCATACATGAACGGACCAATCCCTTGCTAATGCTTATTGCTACTCGGGGGCGCTTTTTCATGGCTGCTGCTGTACTGTATTGCTGCTGCTGCACTGTATCGGGCAGCTGACAGACGAGGAGAAGGCTAAGATTGCGCAGGAGGCGGCGAAGAAGGCCGAGCGGGCGTCGCGACAAGGGGGAGGACTCAACCCCCTTGCGGTGTTGGTTTTGCTTTTGGCCATCTCAGTCGGTGAGAACGAGCGATGTGTCGATGTCCATTTTTGCTGTGTGTCGTCGCTTGTCGCCATCTCAGTTGGTAGGAATGAGCGGTTTTTTGGTGCTCATTGCTATTTGCTTGCTTTCAGGCGCCACTGTAGTAAACGAGGCGAGGGCGAGCGACTGTTCCGGAGTACCGAAGCCCCCGTGGCCATAGAATGATGCTTCGTTGGTGTCGGTCCTTAGTGCTCTTTTGAGAGTTTCGTGTCGTTCGCCCTGGTCTACTTTTGGTGAAAGACACATCCCTGCTTTCGAACTTCTTGCCCTAGAAACCCGGAGCAAGGTTGATAAAACGTACTTGGACGGTGTTGTTGACGCAAAGTGGATAACAATAATTGTGCACGTTTGCGCAGATATGTGCGGGTTGATGTTGTTGGCTGGTATATATGGACCTCTTGAACCCATCTCTCGTCTCCTTCCCGTCTACCCTTCCCCCCTCCCGTTCTGTCTCACAACACTCAATACTCATGACGTGTGCGCGCGCGCGTGTGTCGAATTCTCCGTATCCACTCTCTCAGGGTATTACTACTCCAACCAAAGGTCGTGACCAGTGACGTCATGACTTCCTTGCGCTCGGGTAATTTGTTTTCGCCGGTGGGGTAATTGCTCCTCCCCGCCCCTAGTATCTAAACTTCCTAGATGTCTCTCTCTAGCGAGAGCTTGAGAACGTGGGAGCGAACTAGAGTTTCTGGTTGCGACACCGCGAACGGCAGCTAAATAGGTGCTTGCCGGGCGCTGTGCCTGCTTTCACGCTTTCACATGGCGTTTCGACCGTTTTCTGAAGCCGAGACACGCTGAGGAGGGCGGGGCACACGGGTGCGAATGTTCCCGTGACGATTGATTGGTCGAGCCTTTCCGACGTTGGTCGCGCTCTCGCCAGGGGTGGGAAAAGGAGGCGGACGGAACATCGCCCTGGAATAGAATCGCGAGTCGGTGCATGGTAGGGGTTCGTAATCACATTTCTGTTTACTTCGTGTCATGAGCACGAGGGGCGGCCGCAGGAGAGCCGGGGGGGGGGGGGGGGAAGGGGGCCTTGG